ATACCCCTTTGAAGAAGAAAAAATGTTAAGAAAAAGGCAATCTTGACAAAGCTAGCAATAAGCTTTCAGTGATTTTTTCAGGAAGTTATCTAGTAAGTTAGATACCAAAGAGAAGTAAATTATTGCTATGGCAAATTACACTTGGGCACTATTACGAGCGGCTGAGTGAGTCTTTATTGAAGAGTAAGAGGGTGGAAGACATTGAGTTTATTGCAGGCTTGTTGTTCGGAAACCATGTATTTAGATTATGCACTCCTAATACAATAAAGGCAGGATTGCCAAATTTAAAAAAAAAAAAAAAAAATCATTATAATGTATTTTTAAATATGGGCTACATATATAAAAATTTTGGTAGCTCTAAGTTCTTTTTTGGATTTTATAGAATTTTTTGAAAACTTGCTTTTTTTAGTTTTTTTATTGATAAATTTTACTAGTAAATTTTATATTAAAAACTAAGTTTAATTTTTTAAAATTTAAAACTTATATATTATTTTTAAAATATTAACTTAATTTTAATAAATTTTATTAATTCAAATTAAAAACTTATTTTAATAATTTTACTTAAAATTTAATTGCAGATCTGTATATAATCAATAGATTTTTATAGGCACATGATTTATAATACAAATAATATATGTATATATTTAATTATATAGAAAAAATAATCATTTGTTATTTAATTTATTAATTTTACACTTATTATATGTAGCGCAAATCTCAAACATGTTACTCGTATTAATAAAACTATTTATTATTTATAGCTTTGAAAAGTTTTATATATAGGAAAGAAAGATTTCATATAATATTTCTTGACAATTTTGTGTTTAAGTATATTCTACCTATATTCTTGACGTTTATTGCTAGTTCTCCCAAACATTATATTATAATTATTACTATTCTTTAACAGTGCTTTTTCCGATACTTCCTTTTTGAAATTTGTGCTGTATCTTCCTATCCAACCTTTTATAGTTTTTACCGATGGTATTTTCTCAAAAGTAAGTTTTCCATTTGTAGCTAAGTCTTCTAAACTAGCATATATATCTTCAGATAAGTAACAATCTTTGGCTTTCAAATTTTCTGCTAAAAAAAAACCCTGCAAATATTGTACTACTTTTTTTGCTATGTGTTTTCTTGCGCCTTTTTACCAAGTTTCATATTCTCTTTTAGAGCCCAGTTAGCATTAAAAGAGAACTTCTGATCCACACTATAATATAGATTGCTTAGTATACAAAATAATATATACCAAATAAAGTGACTGGCAGTATAGTAATAAATATACTACTTTGAATCTTTCAATTTGATAGATTCAAATAGTTTGTGAATAGCAAAATAGATTAAAAAAAACATGTAATACAAACTAGTGTTATACATAGGAAATGTGTATATATACATATATATATATAATTACCTCTTATAGTATTTGACATTTCATCTAATTCATTACTGCTAACTAAAATAAATATCAATTTATACATAGAATGATTAGTACAGATGAGATATACCATTCAACTAAGTTAACTAGTGAACCTTTTATATCATTTTAAACATGTTATATTAAATACTTGTATACAATAATCATAAAGAATCTTCTCAATTATTAAGAGCAAACTTTTTTATAATATAAAGTTGATTGTGGAGATTTAACACTAAAAGAATCAGTAAGCATAATTATGAAGTAAAGATTCTTTGTGATTATAATAGCAAGTTTCTTTGTTATTAGGCGAAATTAAATATTTGTGCATATTTATTGCTTGGGTTATATCTTTAAATACTGCTATATTACTTGATCTGTTGCTTGTTTCTTCGCTTATAGATGATTCTAATAATAATTATTATTATTATTATTATTTCTACTTTTTTTGCCAATCAACTATAATGAATAAGCCTTCTTGTTTGTTTTTTTAATAATTGGCATTGTTCAAGCAGTTTTGGATTTAGATGGCTCAGAAAATATTGGAGATGGTCTATTATAGAAGGTAGCAATTTGTTCAGGTCAGAAATCAGTTCACACGCCTATGTAAGAAAGAAAACAGGCACGAATATATACTACAAATTGACCTGTTACAGGCCAGGACCACTCAAACCATTTAGAAATGCCAGGTATAGTTTTGAATTTTTTTTTGTTGATATTGGAATTCTAATTGATGATTAACTCTAACATTTTGTAAAAATAATTACGACTCAAATTAGGATATCTGATATGTCGAATAGTGTAGTATACTTTTAATATACAAATTTTTATAATTTTGATTAATAGAAAGCTAATATTTATTTTTATTTAAACTTACTTTAATGATTTAGAACTTATCTCTACATTGTCTTGATCTATTAATAATACTGATTCATCTACTGTTTTGCTACGATTTGGTTCTATATGCACTATAGATATTCTACTTAGATTCTGAAGTGCTATTTCAATATTTGTTCTATCAATAAGATCACACCCAACTCTGATGTATCTTTTAATTGCATGTGCAATCTATGATTAATATCAAATTTATTAGTGGAATGTAAAAAAAAAAATTAAATACAGAGTCTTTGCTTTAAAAATAACCTTATAAGATATTGTCTTATAAAGTTTTTTTCAAGGCAAAAACTCTATATAATTCTGAATCTACTTGCCGTTGCATGGTGAGAGTTGACAGTAGTTTTGGCCTCTTCTGGCTCAAGAAAAATCTATTCACGCACTTTCACATTATACTAATTATACTAATGACTAATAATTAATATTAATTCTGAATTATGATAGTGCTTTCTATTGTCTGAAATTATTTTAACCCAATATAGTTTTGGGTTTATTATTATGAATACTGCCTCAAAGCATGATGCCATGAACCAAGCATCTTGCTTGGTATCAGAACTCCAATAATTATAGACTTAAATATCTAAATTTTCATCATCATTATTTTTTTAAAATATCAAAATCATATATAGTGTCCATTCGCACTTCCTATAAAATTAGCTTTTTTTTTCAAGATGTTATAGATAAAATTCACATTTTATAATCAACTACAATAATAGCTCTGTAATCATCTAACTCTTGTAATATAGAATTAAATTGTATATTTAGATATTTTTTATAAGTCTGGTGCGCTAAATAACATGTCAATTGGTTTTGGCATTTAGAAAGTTTCATATAATAGGCAGTATCAAGTTTATTTTAAGGTTTTTAAATATTTTGAAAATTTTGTTACATTCTTGACACCGAGAAAAATGCTGATGTTTGCATTTACCAAAAGCAAATAACTAACAATAATTGATGCAATTTACATAATTAGTTGTACCATTCTTATTTATAACTAATTTATTTTTATAATATTATTTTAGGTGATGGTACAATATTTCAATTTTATGAATATAATAATTCTACAAAAAGTATATATTAATAAGGTAAAAACAAAAAGTTTTTTATATTTGACTAACCCATAATATTTTATTAGGAAAGTTTTTAATGATTATTTTAATTAAATCCTTGGTTAGTTGATAACTATAATCATTGCATATCAGACACAATTTACCTAAATCTTCTCAATAACAAAAATGCCTATTTTGTAAGTGGTCTATAAAGGAAGTGCGTCTTATTCCATCAGGATATTTAGCAGAAAACTTTTACTAAAGTATATTTTTTTGATTCTTCAGGTAAAGAATAGATAATTGTGTTTCTGCATTAACCTTGTAGGAACTTATATTTATATTGTCTTTATCACTAAAAAATAATTTAAACTTTTTTTCTTTAATTTTAAACATTTTTTGATGAGTAAATTACAGGTTTTTCTAATGAAATATATCTGGGTCCATTAATATGAGAAAACTGTTATGTCATATTAATACTATTGAATACCTAAGTTATATATAATTTATTTAATACTATTACAATCTATAACTTTATTGATCATAAAGCATATTTTTAATTCATATGGGACCACTCATAGCAAAAGGGGGCATTGGGACAATCATGTGATTTTGAGAAAATCACAATTTAAGTTTGTTACATGATTAATTCTAATATAGTAATAATGAAAAAAAAATTTAAATTTATACACTTTTTATTAGTATATTTATAGACAAAAAAATATTTTTTGAAAAGATAAACTTATAAGCAAACTATTATAATAAAATCTCAAAATCTGATTGGTTGGCTCATTGCCACCTTTTGCTGTGGAGGATCCCATATGTTATTTCCTGATATATAAACCTTTCTGCAATTATTGATAGTATATGCACTTTACCATTTGCTCCTTTTGAATTTGTATTGTAACTATCATAGAAGCAGTTTCAAAATGCTTTGATAGTTAAAGCTTGTGGAGATATGTTTAAAATTTCTTTCTTATATAGATTCTTGAGTGTATTGTAGTCTTTATCAGAATTAGGTATGTTTGTCCAATATTCATTCTATATATATTTATAGTATATTTTTTTTAGCTTATTAACTCTTTGACTTATAATTAGAGCTTTATATTCATATTTATTTTATTTTATTTATTTATTTTTTTTTTAAATTTGGCAGTCTTGCCTTCACTTTATTAGGCTTTGTAATAATTATCTAAACTATTAAAATTTTCTACAGAGTTATACTCTATAGTACCTAAATTACAAGTGGAGACTCACCTGATTGCTCATTGAGTACCTATGTGTGACCTGCTATAGTAAGATTTGCCTCTGTATTATCTTATTTTGCAATTGGCTTCAATAATACGTCACCAGCTGGATCTTACTACCTGTCAAGACTACATGTTAATTTTTCACCAATCTGCCCATTGTCCTTCCTCTATCCACCTTACAACCTCTTTTTTAGTTATTTCTAAAATTGAACCTTATTTTTTATCTTCTTCTTTATTCTTGTTTTTTTCTTTTTTCCTAGTATGTTTATCTGATGGCTTCTTCTTCTTTTTTTCCTTTCTGTGCAATCTTCTTTTATTTTTTGGTGCAATTTCATTTTCTTTCTCTCATTCTTATACTAGTTTGCATTTTGCAACTCATATTCTCTCATAGACTTCCTTTATCCAGTTCTTTCAAAGTCTATTTAGAAAGCTTTTTGTTTGATTGTTCAAGTTAAAAAGAGGTCTCAACTTGTCGAAGTCTTCTTTTATAATTAAGCCTCTAATCCATCTTTCTCTTCTATGTAATTCTTCAGTTTGGGGTCCCTTTTCTAGCATTATTAAGACTTCTTCTTTGGTTGTCTCCATGCTTTCTACCTTTTTTAATTCTATTAAGATTGCTTCTACAACTTGCTCTTCTAATTCGCAGAGAAGGTTTAGAGAGATTTTACAGCTCACCAAGTGTTCTACATTCTCTTTCTTTTTTTTATGTATCACATATTTGTCTGATTTGTATGTTTTTGGCCTTCTTTGATTGAGTTTCTCAAACACTGGAAGCATATTGTTTATATACTTTATTTCAAAGAGCTGTAATATATTTGATTTGAGAGTATAGTTTCATTGTCTAGTTCTACTTCTCATTATATTGCACAGCATAGACCAAGATTGAATGCTTTTTCTTTCTTGATAAGTTTCATCATGTGTATTATGTAAAAAAGCCCATTCTGCTTTCAATAGCACTCTCCCCAACATTTTGACAAAGGAACAGATAGGCTTTTCAACTAATTTACCTTC